GTGGTAGTAGTACTACTAGTAGTAGTACTAGTAGTAGTAGTAGTAGTAGTAGTAGTAGCAGTAGTAGCAATAGTAGCAGTAGCAGTCGTAGCAGTAACAGTAGTAGCAGTAGAGTAGCAGTAGTAGCAGTAGTAGTAGTTGTTGTCGTTGTTGTTGTTGTTGTTGTCGTTGTCGTTGTCGTTGTCGTTGTCGTCGCCGTCAGCTCGTATTTTTCCATCCAAAATCACCTCAAACACCCGGGACTCTGAAGCTCATGATGCTTGATCCAGATAGCTTCATGCACAAGCCCTAAACCCTAAGCCCTGAACCCGACACTTGAAGAGTCCGGGGCCCCAGAGCCCGCATCCCTACCCTACGTCAATCTTAAGCTGAACCTTCTACCTACGTCGCAAGTAGCAAACCCGGGGGGGTTTGGGGTTTAGGGTCCAAGTAGCACTACAGCATATGGGTAGTTCGCTAAGCTAGGTTCCCTTTTTGGGTCCCCAATATGGTACGGCACCCGTATAAGAAGGACTCCAACAGGGACCCTATTTTAGAGAACGGTTAGGGGGGTTCCTTATTATAATTATAGTATAATATACCCCCCAAACCCTATTCTAATTATCAAGGCCCCTAATTACCCACTTAGAACCAACTCTCATGGTACATCCCTAAACCCTAAACCCTAAACCCTTTGGGCAAGGTACAGCATGGGTGGCTTCGGGGCACTCCAGCTGGGTTGCCATGAACCCGAGGCACGCTGCCAAGGTACCCACATTGCGGAATAGGGATTTTGGTTGTCGAGCCTGGAACTTTAGGACTAAAGCCTAGCTCAACAAATTGAATTGTAGGGCTGGTCTTATGTGTTTTTGCTTCTTGGTTTGGATAATACAGGGGCTTTAATAGTTACCTCTAATATTTTGGGGTTCCTTGTTATATAGTATGATATACCCCAAAACCCGATTCTAGTCATTAAGGCCTCTATATTGTTTCGATTCAGCTGCTGCTTGTTGTTAGCAACGTGTTGTCGCCGTCGCCAGTTTCATCGTGTCGCGGTGTTGGACAGGACAGTGCAGGAAAAGATATGGGTGGTTGTCAAAATTATGGTCCCTTCTTGGGTCCTTATTATAATACGGCACCTATTATTGAGGGTACCACACAAGGGACCATAATTTTGACAACTACCCCCCTCTTCATCTATTCAATCTCTGGGAGCAGTGCTCACAAGCCAACGCGTTTAACTAACGCCTAGACCCCAACTAAACCCCCGATCGGAACCCGAACGAACAGTTCCCTATTATAGGGCCTCAATATTTACCTATACGAATTTGGGGGGTTCCTTATTATAATCATAGTATAATATACCCTGTAACCCTATTCCAATATCAAGGCCCCTACAGTGTACATCTTCCATACTAGCATTCCTCAGACTTGTTCTTCCGACTGGGCAATCCCACAATCGAAGGTCCTGAGTTCTTCAGCACCCATAAGATCCCTCACAACCCTGTAAAACTTCGAAGCCCTAAACCCTAAACGCTGCACAAGCTCGTAAGGTTAATTGTGCAAGTTGAGGGTTTCTGGGTTCTTTCAGCAGTGAGGCCTACGATGCGGTGGTCTCGATCGCTGGCTATGGCATGGGTATCTCAAGTTGCAAATCCGAACCCCTTAGCCCTGAACCTGAACTCCCATACCCCAAAACCCTAGCACCTTGAACCTTAAAGCCTTCAACCCTCAATCAAGAGAGTGTGATTTGGGACCTTATCTGTAGCCGAACAGACCTACCTTTTTAGGGTTCCTTCTTATGGCTCCTATATATAGTTCCTTAAGAAGGTAGGTCTTTGCGGCCACAACCCTAAACCCCTAAACCCTAAACCCTAAACCCTAAACCCTAAACTAAACCCCTAAACCCTAAACTTTAGGGGAAGTTTAGTCAGGGGATCCGAGACGTTTTTATGGCGCAGGAGGTCTGGCGGGGCCAAGAAGCTGCGGCTGTTGCGGGGTTGAGGGATTCGGGTTTAGGGTTGTAGGGTTTAGGGTTTAGGGTTTAGGGCCCAGGGTTCAGGGGTTTGGGATTCGGGTTTCGGGGGGGGTTTAGATTTTAGGGATGTTTAGGGGGGTTTAGCGCTTAGGGGTTTTAGGGGGTTTAGGGGCTAGGGGATTTAGGG